TACATTATAAACCTATATTTAGATTTTAGGCGACATTTTTTGTGTTTCATGGCCTAAATGTAAAAAATTACACTCTATGAAAATAAGTTGTAAGAGTAAGATTGATTTTACATCTGACCTTATTTTTTGATGATAACTTTACATGTTATTTTAGAGAACAATTGTGTAATTTAACGGTTTTTGTCTAGTGTGTGGTTTTTGCCAAACATGTTCTGACTCTGATAAGAAAGTGTGTGACATCATCAGGTTCTGAACTCAACACTTTGGAAGAATACCTATGGTGTGTTACAAGTTAAGTCAAAGTTATGGAATGCTTCTTATGCAACGGTTCTAAGGAACGTTAGTAAAAGAGCTTCTGATTGTGACTCTAAAGGCAAGGGTTCTCTGAACAAGCCCTAAAAAGCTCTAAAGACTTAGGTTTTGAAGATACATAGTTCTGATCCTTCTACAACATGTTTCATCAACAAACAAATCAGAAACCTTTGAAGATATAGAAGACGAAGATCAAGACTAAAGGATTGCGTGTGAGGGTGAGTATAAAAGTACAAAAGTACATTGTGACCACTACTCTCTAGAATGGCGCAAGGACGAACCTTTTTGTACTATTGTCTACAAGTCTCACCATGACCGTTGGGAATAAAACAGTTGTATTTGTGTTTCCTATTATACCCTCCAGTGGATCTCTTCTTTCAGCTATAAAGGGGGTACTTGGAAGAATATGAAATCAATGAATCAGTTCTACAAAACTACATCAAACCTCTCCACAAACTCTATAGAGCAATTCTTTGTATAATTTTGTAAATAAGCAAAGAACTTTTGTTTGTATCTTGCTATCAACACTTTTGTTTTGCTGTAATTAAACATTATGTAATATGCTTGCATAGAAGCATATTTGTATATACATCTTGTTAATCAACTATTGTTGATTGGTTCCTTGAGAGACTTTGTGTAGTCTGGATTCTCAAGAAGATTTTGGTTGCAGCCATAGTGGTTTGTGATAAGTATCGACAGACTTATTAGGGGTGCCAATAAGGTTGATCAGACTTGTTGTGGTTGTCTATAAACTGGTTGATTATAGTGGATTAAGTCCTTGTGTATAAGGTAAATCACCTTCTAGGGTGGACTGGAGTAACTTTGTTAACAGTGAACCATGATAAAAATAATTGTGTTCATCTATTTTTATTCACTTGTTAAGATTTGTATTTGAGTTGCAAAAAGATTATATTTGGTGCAACCAAATTCAAACCCTCCTTTCTTGTGTTTCTCGCACCTTCAATTGGCATCAGAGCTCCGGTTCTGGTATTGATTTCTATTAAAGACTTAATCGTGTCAGATAAAGATCCATACAAGTTTTAGAAACACTTTGCTTGATCTTACTCCACCACCATCCGCTCTAGTTTATGATAAAAATAACTACAATACTAAACTTCCCATTTTTTATGGTGAAAAGTTTGAGTACTGGGAAGATATACTAGAAAGTTTATTTCTAGGTCATGATGTTGAACTTTGGGATATGTTAGTTGATGGCTACGAACATCCAACGGATGCTAATGCAAAGTAGCTTGAAAGGAAATCTATTAATGATCAGAAAAAGAAAGATTGTAAGAATCATCATAAAGCAATAACTATCTTGCTGAATTATATTTCTTACACTGGGTATACGAATATCACAAATAGAGACTCAGCTAAGTTTATATTTGACTCTCTTATAATGACTCGTGAAGGAAATGATTAAGTTAATGAGACCAAGGCTCCGACTTTGATTAAGAATTATGAAGCCTTCAAAATGGAGGATGATGAAACAATTGAGACGGTGTTCTCAAGTTTTAAAACCTTGGTTGCAGGATTGAGAGTTCTGAACAAATGGTATTCTATGTTGGATCACGTGAAGAAGATAATCAGAAGCTTTCCATACAAATGGATTCCTATGGTAATTATGCTCAAGCTTGCAAATGATCTAAACAATACTTCTCTAGAAGAACCTGTGAGTTCTCTGAGAAGTTATGAGATTTAGTTTGAACAGGATGAACCTTAGAAGAGAGGGAAATCTATTGTACTTGAGTCTATCATAAAATATGAGAAGTTCAAAGCTCTTCAAGCTAAAGAGATTGAGGATTCAGAAGAAGATTCTGATGAAGATAAAGATGAGTTGTCTCTGCTATCCAAAAGGGTTAACCGTCTCTGGAATAGAAATCAAGGAAAAAAGTTCAGAAGTACTAGAAGGACAGGTGGTCGCTTCGAGTCTACTTCTGATTAGAGGAAGTCTGATGGCAAAGAGTCACTTGTTACGAGTGAAATAAGCCAGGACACTAGAGGAACGATTGTCCTGATCTTCAGAAGGACAAGCCCAAGAAGAAAGATCTCAAGAGCAAGAAGAAAGGGTTGATTGGAAAATTGGGATGATTCTGATTCTTCAAAAGATGACTCAGGAGAAGAACATGCTAACATGGCGCTGATGGATCAAGTTAGAACGTTTGTTGAAAATATCTCTCTAGAAGATGATGTAGGTTCTGATTCAGACACGTAAGAGGTATTTTCTGACCTTACACATTCTGAATTAACTTCTTATTTGGTTGAAATTCTGGAAAAATATGAGTTACTCAAGATTAAATTCAAGGAACTTAAAAAGTCCTATGAATCCACATCTTCTGAAAATAACAAGCTTAAGAAAGATCTCTATTTTAAATGAAGAAAACTTTTTTCTAAAATATGAGAACTATACCCTCAAATGCACAAGAACTCTTCCAGAAGCTTCTGAGAGTACTGATAATGTCATCAAGAAGTATGACAAATCCTTCCAAAAGTTCCTAGCCAGAACCATAGGGAGAAGCATGATGGCTTCTATGATCTATGGCGTTAGCAGAAATGGGACAAATGGTATTGGTTACAACTCCTATGACGAAACAAATTCTGATAAGAAAGACAAACCTAATACTCTTCATTCTCATTTTGTCTCTGTTGGGTCTGTGCCTAAAGACAAAGAAAAAGAGAAATTTGTTTCTGAACCTAAGGCAGAACCCTTGGTTAAACCTTCTCATTTTAATTCTTGTAAATATGATTATTCTGTCACTAAACCCAAATTTATTAAGAACTCTGGGAAAATTAACAAGAGAGGACCCAAGAAATTATGGTACCTAAGAAACAAATAATCTGTTGTAGATATTCTCAGAAACACAGTTGAAACACCTGTTATGGTACCTAGACTCTGGTTGCTTGCAACACATGGTGGGAAGAAGACATATGTTCCAAAGTCTAGAACTTAAGCCTGAAAACATTGAGGATCTCAGAGGTGGTCAGAAAAGAAAAGATCATGGGCTCTGAAATAGTTGGTAATGATTTTCTTCTCTCTATCCAATATATTAAGGGTTAAATATACAACACCCCCCTTTAATATTAGTGAGTTTCGCATTAGGCCCCTGTAAAATATTTTTTTAAACCCCCCTCACAATTTCCAGATTCCCTCAGATACACCCCTAAATGCCACATTGTAGCAAAAATTCTATCTAACTGCATACGTGTAGGGGTGACAAAACGGGCCCAGTCTGTTGGGCATGCCCATTTTTCCCGTCATTTAGTGCGGTATGAGTCTGGATTTCAGACCCGCGTTTTTGAGTAAGCCCGCCTGCCCTGCACCGTAAAAAAATAGGGTGGGTGCGGGGCGAACGCGGGCAGCCCGCGGGCATGGTTAAAAAAATTAAATTTTGTATTCTTGTTGGACCACACCCACACTATTCATACTACATCCATCATACACACATTCCAAATTAAAAAATACAAGTAAAAGATTAGGTTTTCCAATTTTTCTTCTCATCTGCTTGCTACTGCCGTCGCCATACCATCTCTCTCATCTGCTTCTAAAAAGCTCAAGTTGATGTTGGGAATAAATTAAGGTACTGCAAATCTGAAATTTATTCTATTATTTTCGATTTCTTCATAATCTAAAGTTTGAAAATTGTATCTTCCATCATGTTCAAAAACCTAGCCTTGTTAGTGGTAAGCTTTTGCTATCAAAACTGTGGCAGTCACGTGATGTGTTTTACTTTAAAGAATGGGACCACTCAGAGTTGTATGATTGGAATTCAGTGAGACATATGTGCAACACTGAGTGATATAAATATTAGAGAGAAGAAAGAAACTGTACTTGATGGTTTTGGTGTCTGCTTTAACTAGACGAGGTTTATGTAATGTAATGTTGGAGATTCTTTTATTTATTTTTTGTTACTATTATTTATTGTCTTTGCTTTTATTTTTCAATTCAAGTTGGAAAAAACAGAAACTAGTGGAGTTTTGTTTTGCTGTACTGTTTTCATTATTAATTATTCTTTTCATGGATGTAGTCATCTTTATTTGACATAATAGTTGGAAAAGTTAATCCAAGTGTAAATATTTTCATCAATTCTTGTTGTGTATATATAGTATGGTGAAAGTGTTAAATGTTGCATCGTTTTGTGGTATTATGGATTGATCATGTTTTCTTATGTGAATCAATGCAAGAAGCTAGAATGGGGCAAGGAATGAGTGATGTTATGATATTATAGATATTTCTTTATACAAATTTTTGAAAGTAGTTGTAAATTGAATAATTGGTGTCATAATTCTAAAATATGGTCCCTATGCATGTGGGGAAGAACATGTTTACTAAAATTGGGAAGGATAAAGATGGAATTCCAAGGGTTAAGTGTAATGTTTTTTCAAAGATTTTGAAGGGCGGCGATAGGAATTATGGTACCACGAGTTTGAATCGTCATATGAAAAAGTGCTCTAAAATCAAATATGCGGATGTAGGTCAAGTGATGGTTGACTTGCAAGGTAGACTCAAGAATATTGCGATACATAAAAAGGTTTCTAAATCAATGTGTGTTAGAGCAATCATTTCACATGATTTTCCGTATAATTTTGTGGAGTTTCAATTTATTAGGGATTGGTTGAAATATTTGAACCCTGATTTTTCACCTATTTCACGGAATACTGCTAAGGCTGATGTTGAAGAACTATTCAAGATGGAGAACGAAACACTTAAGAAGGAATTAGCTAACATTCCCTCTAGAATTTCATTAACTTCTGATTTGTGGACAGCTTGTACTACTGAGGGTTATATTTTCTTGACTGCCCATTATGTTGATTCAAATTGGAATTTTAAGAGTAGGATTCTTAACTTTTGTCGCATGCCTCCCCCACATACAGGATCTGAGTTGTCGAAAAAGATTCTTGAATTTTTATCTGATTGGGGAATTGAGAAGAATATTTTTTCACTCACATTAGATAATGCTTCAGCTAATGACGTGATGCAAGCTAACTTGAAAAGACAACTTGCCTTGCAAAAATGGTTGTTATCTGATGGAGAGTTCTTTCATATTTGTTGTTCTGCACATGTTTTAAATTTAATTGTTCAAGAGGGTTTGAAATTACTTGGTGATGCGTTGGAAAAAATTAGAGAAAGTGTCAAATATGTGAAGGGCTCATATGGTAGAATGAAAAAATTCAAGGAATGCATTGAACTCATTGGTGGTGTTGAAACTTCGGTTGGTTTGTCTTATGATGTTTCCACTAGATGGAACTCTACTTATTTGATGCTTCAAAGTGCATTGAAGTATCGACGTGTATTTGAAAGTCTTAGTTTTCATGATGATAATTATAAGGTTTTCCCTTCAGAAGAAGATTGGGAAAAAGGAGATAAGATATGCACATTCTTGTTGCCATTCTATGAGACCACAAACTTAATTTTCGGAATGTCTTATCCTACTTCTAATTTGTATTTTTTGCAATTTTGGAAAATTCAGTGTGTTTTGATGGCAAACATCAAAGATAAAGACACTCTTATTAAGACATGGCTAAAAAAAATTATGATCAAATTTGATAAGTATTGGAGTGATTATTTAGGAGTAGTTCTTGACCCAAGGATTAAGCTTACCTCTTTGGAATGTATTTATGAAAAAGTTTATCCACTTACCTCAAATCTTAGAACAGAGGAAATAAAGCAGAAGTTGTACACTCTCTTTGAGATGTATCATTCCCTTCACACTTCATCTTTCACAACTTCCCAAACTCGATCTTCCAACACTAGAGGAGAATCAAGTTCTCACGCCTTCACTAAAGGTTTGTTCAATGTAAGTAGCTTGTTTCATTATATTATTTTATGCTTGCTTTAATTTGAAACTTGTTTGTACATTTTATTAAGTACTGTTAAGTGCTTGTACATTCTGTTAAGTGTTGTTAAATATTGTGGTAAGTCTTGTGAATTGTAAAACAAGTATTGTGAAAGGTTGTTTGTACATTCTGTTAAGTGTTGTTAAATATTGTGTTAAGGGACGTGAATTGCAAAACATATGTTGTGAAAGACTGTTTGCACATTCTGTTAAGTGTTGTTAAATATTGTGTTGAGTGTTGTGAATTGCAAAATAGGTATTGTGAAAGGTTGTTTACCCATTCTGTTAAGTGATGTTAAACATGTGATGTGAAAGATTGTTTGCACATATTGTTAAATGTTAAAATGTTGTGTTAAGTGTTGTCAAATACTAAGCAAATGTTGTTAAATGTTGTGTTAAGTATTGTTGTTTGTTCTAAAGTGTTGTTAAATACCATTCTAATATGTTTTCAAATATATCTTGATTGCTAACACGCTATGACATATTATTTTAATATAATATAGGATTTGAAAATACACAAACAACAACTTGCAACAGAAACTGGGAAGTCTCAACTTGATATTTATTTGGAGGAGGAAAGTGTGGATTTAAGTTATCAAAATTTTGATGACTTGAATGGTCTTCAATGGTAGAAGGAGAATTGGAATAGATTTAAAGAATTATCTTTAATGGCTCGTGATTTATTAGGCATCCCTATTACTACAATTGCATCTGAATCTGCTTTTAGCATTGGTTCAATAATTCTAAACAAATATAGAAGTAGCTTGTTGACAAAGAATATAGAGACATTGATTTGTACTTGCAATTGGCTTCATGGTTTTAATAGTTTTGGTAAATAACCAAATATAAAAAATTCTCTCAATACTTTGTGATAATTTATTTTGTTTCTTTAATTACTCACACTTACATTTTTTATAGGTGTATTGAATGATGATGAAGATAAGGAAGAAGGAAGTTTGGCAAAAAGTATTACAACAGAAGCGTCTTTTGTTTATGACATAGATGAAGATTGATTATTGAATATTTTCTGACATGTTTTGTAATTTATGTTGACTTGTTTGATGGTCTAAGTTGTAAGGTTTTGAACTTTTATTGATATTTTGAATTTGTAAGGTGTTGAAATTGTAAGGTTTCGTAAGGTGTTGAATTATTTTGGTGTTGAACTTGTTTGATTTTAAACTTGAAAGGTGTTGAACTTGTAAGATTGTGTAAGGTGTTGAACCTTTTACATGCATTTTCATTAATGATGTATTTTTTTAAAGATATTCTATAATATGAGTGAAAAAAGTTTTTTATTTGTTTTTTTTTTAAAAAGTAGTTGAGCGGGCATGCCTGCATACCCGCATGCTCGTTATTAAACGGGGCAGGCCTAGTAATTGAGTCTACACTTTCAAAAATATCTGCCCCGCTCCACCCCGTTTTTTTGTGGGCTTTTGTGGGGCGGGCTAAACGGACGCGGACATGCTTGTTTGTCATCCCTACCTACGTGGTAGTCCACGTGTTTTTTGTTTATTTTTTAATTATTATTTTAATCCAAATGGATTTTTTTAAATATTCTTTTTTATTTATATAATATATTTTCTTCAGTTAATATTTTTTAAGAATTATTATTTTAATTTTTCATAATATCTTTTATGAATTATTATTTTAAACTATCAAACTATTAAATTGGGCCTAATGTCCAAATTGTCTTGCACAGCAGTCCAATAAAATAATTGATAACTAATGTGTAAAAGTGTTATATAAACACTTTCATTTCTTTTTCAGATTCATATGTAAGACTTGTATTTGAACATGACCACAAACAATTACACTACATTAGCTAAGTAGTATTTTGATAATTTAGAAAAATAATTTGAAGCAAAAATATATTTAGGCCTAAAAGTAGTATTTTGATAATTTAGAAAAATAATTTTTAAAAAATATTAATAAAAATAATTTAAGAAAACATAAAAAAAATTAATACAAAAAAGTTTAAAAAAAAATTGATATAAAAAGTAAAAAAATTTGATATAAAAAAGTAAAAAAATATATAATATATAAAAAACAGTAAAAAAATTAAGAAATTCCACATGACTTTAAAAGTTTAATCTAAAATAAAAATCCAATTGGACTGTCAAGTCATTGAAAATTAAAATCTGGGCTGAAATAGTATATTCATGGGCTACAACGAAAGAATCTCAATATTACAAGGGGGTTTTACAAAATAAACTTTACCAAGGGCTAAAAACAAATCTCGCTAATATTGGAGGGGATGTTGTATATTTAACTCATATTTTAATAGCTGTCGGAGTAATAAATAATGTGTTGTCCTTAAATCAATTAAGTGGTAAGTGTTATGATGTTATCCTTATTAAAGAATCCTTCTTTACTATTAGTTAGAAGAATGTGAATATTACATTCAATGGTATAAAGGAAAAACAACATCTTCAAGATCAGACTTCTCGATCTTAAGAATGTTTTTGCTAATTAAGAGCATTAGTCTTGGCATTGATGTTTGGGCTATGTTAGTATGAAACAAGTATCTCATCTAAACAAACTTAAATTAGTATGAAGCCTTCTGAATCTGAAGTTCTCTTCAGAAGCTCTTGTGAAGCATGTTAGAGGGGTAAGTTTTTCAAAAACATTCTTTAAGTAAAGATTTTTGTTTTTACCTCCAGACTAGTGGAACTTCTTCATTGATTTGTTTGGACCAGTGAGAATTGTGTCAATCAATGAAAAGGAGTGTGAATTAGTCATGTTTGATAACCATAAGTAGATGGTTTTGGGTGAAGTCTCTTAGACACAAGGATGAGTCACATTTTGTGTCACCATCTTTTGTAACCAAGTGCAAAATGAGATAGGTCTCAGAATTGTCAAAGTTAGAAGTGATCATGGAGGAAAATTTGAGAATAAACATTTTAAAAAGCTATTTGTTGAGAATGGCATTTTCCATGATTTCTCCTTCCCTAGAATATCATAGCAAAATGGAGTTGTAGTGAGGAAGAATAGGAATTTGCAAGAAATGGACATAAGTAGATGGTTTTGAATGAAGTCTCTTAGACACAAGGATGAGTCACATTCTGTGTCACCACCTTCTGTAACCAAGTGCAAAATGAGACAGGTCTTAAAATTGTCAATGTTAAAAGTGATCATGGAGGAAAATTTGTGAATAAACTTTTTAAAACACTATTTGTTGATAATGGAGTTATCCATGATTTCTCCCGTCCTAGAACATCACAACAAAATGGAGTTGTAGTGAGGAAGAATAGGACTTTGCAAGAAATGGCCAGGACCATGATCAGTGAAATCATCATGGCAAAGCACTTCTGAACAGAGGCTGTAAACACAACGTGTTTCATTCAGAACAGAGTCTCTATAAGACTTATTTTGGGTAAAACTCATATGAATTGTAATAGAAATTGAAGTCCGATCTTTATTACTTTCATTATTTTGAATGCTTTTGTTCTATATTGAAATTCTAAGAGAATCCTAACAAGCTTGATTTTTAAGCTTAAGGTTGTGTTATGATAGGATATTTTGAATGCTCAAAAGGCTATAGAGTATACAAATATGAATCACTTAGCTTCTAAGGAATCAATCCATGTTGGATTTAATGACAAGCTTGACCTTAAAGAACCCAAGCTATTTGAAATATTTGTAGGACTGGATATTACCCTCTCGGGTGCAGAAGATAATGAAGTTGATGCATAAGGACAAGAAGTCAAAGACTCAAAAGATGCTCATACAGAAGTTGGGCTAGCTTAGATAGAAGATCATCACATGTTGAGGGATTCACTTTGGGTGACTAAACTAAATCTGGAGAAATCAAACTTTCGATCAATCCTTCAAAAGCAACACTTATAGGTTTGGTATTCGTAGTAGAGTCTGTATCTATTGACAAAGAAATTATGAACAAAGATTGGTTTCTGGCTAATCTATATGAAATATCTTGCTTCTCATAAAATGATAACGTTTGAATAAATGTGGTGCTCTCTACATACCGTCTTCCAAAATAATGTATGGATTTATAAGGTACGTATCATTCTTGCTGACTAGCTTCTGAAATGTGGTACTTCAATCTAATGAAGTTCTCATATATTCGAAGTACCTATGGTAAATATATTCTCTTAAGAATATCCTTGTCCATTGAATACTAAATATTTCACTCCATCAATTAATGTTTGATCAAACGTATATGTTTACTCCTTTGTATGATTTTATCAATTACTGAGCTACTCATATCAATTGATTGATATATTGGGTAAACAACTTCATTGAAAATGAAAAATTATTAGCACGCCTTTATCTTTTTCCTTTCCTAGATTATCCTTATCTCTTCATGTTGCTTGTCTTGGATTTTTTTCATTATCTCACCTTCGTGGTTTTTCATTTATTAACTTGTCAGTGATAAGTATGTTAGGTCTCTGATCAAAATCTTTTCTCCTGTCTGTTACGCATCTTTTTCCTCTATTTAAATGACTCATATCTTGTTGATTTCTTCATCCTTTTTCATTCTATCCTTCATAAGTCTTTTTCTCCCTTCTTCTCTCCTTTTCATCGTGTCTCTAAAAACCTTTCATGGCAATGAGGATCTCCTCGTAGTCATTCCCGAACTTCGTCCCAACATTCCTCGTCTGAGAAGTGATGAACTCAATTTAACCGAAAGTGTAATTGTGCAAGCTTGGTCCAGTTATTTTGCAATTCTGCATTGACCAATCTATCATAATCTTGTCAAATAATTTTGTAAGTATGCTTCCGTTAGTTTCAATGATAACTCTATCAGTTCCAATGTTTTTGGTATCCCTATTACCATTACTCAGTCAACAATTATTGCTACAATCAGATGAGTTCAAACAAGAACAAATGTTGATCACTTTCGGTTCAAATTCTCCCTTGTTTAGAGACTCATCACCATTCATAACACCTCCATTCGTTTTGAACCCACCAATCCTCATAATTTTCTTCATGTTGCTAAGGTTTGGTTTCAGCTGCTGCTGACCAACTTTCGACCTATGAATGTG